ATATGGTGATATTTTAAAGCAGGAGTGGGGAACGTCTGGCCTGCAGGCGTATATGGCCCGTGAAATCATTTGGTCTGGCCCTGTCAAGGCTACCTCAGGCAGGACTCAAAATTCAATAAATCTAGGAGCTTTTTTCATAGCTAATTTTTAAGTTGATAATTTCGTATGGCCTGCAAATGATGTTATAAATATCCATATGGCCCTTGGCAGGAAAAAGGTTCCCCGCCCGTGTTTTAAAGCTTTGCTTTTAGTATTCAGATCTTATTATATTTATTATTCCTACTCTGCCATTACAAAATATGATTCTGGGCTTAACCATTTTATTTTTTAATGTCTTTTTCTATAAATGGGGATTATGATAATATCTGTTTTAGTGATTAAATGAGATTCTAAATGTAAAGCATTAAGAATAGTCCTAGATACATAGTAAGCATTCAGAAATAGTTTTCTTTCACTCATTCAGCCAGTATTTATTATGTATCTGTGGTGTCCTATGCACTGTTTTAGACACTAGGATATAACAGACAAAACCAACAAAAATATTTGCCCTAAATGAAATAGATTCTATTTGCTGTTGCTGTTATTAATTTTATTTATTTATTTTGTTGTTGTTGACTTAAAAATCTCATAAAATTTCTAGGGCCTGGGGGTGGGTACAGGGTGGAGGGGGTCAAAGGGAGGGACATCTCTAATACTTACAACAATAAAGAGAAATTTTAAAAATTTTCCTAGGGCCTTAGAAAATGTGATTTTGTGTCTTAGACCACACACACACACACACACACACACACACACACACACACACACACAGAGGTATATACATATGGGAGTGTTTAGGTGGCAAATGATGTCTCTAGAATGTGTCAGAGGGCAGTTCATTAATTTTACAGAGTTGACCCTAAATTCAAAATAGTTTATTATTGCAGTTAATGCGGATCCACGGATGTGACATTCTTGAGAGGTTTTCACGTCTCATGATACAATAGAGCTACAGTTGTTCAGGACTTGTGGCCGGTGTATGGAAAATAACTCCTTAATGCTGCAAGTAAACATTTTGCTACAGTGCTGGTCCCAACGGCATGACGCACCAGGACTGATAATCGGGTGGTATTTTCAGAGGAGAAGCAAGCAGAGTTAACATGAGAGTCGCGGTCCCCGTGGTACTGTATGTTTCCCGATTTCTGAAATACAGGATGATCAGGAACGTCCTCTGGTGAATGAAATGTTTAATGCCCAAGTCCTGTGCCACAAGCATGCCACGTGTCCTTCCATGCCCAGTGTTTGTTTCAGAGCAAACAAATTAAAACGTGGTTCGAGCTGAAGTTCAGAGCACGGTGCCGGGTGCCTGCACTTTATAGCATCACAGCCTGCGAGGGTGTTGGAGGCCATGAGGAGACAGGAGGGCCCCACTGAGCCCTGCTGAGGGGTGTTTTGAAGGATGCCTGTTTCTTTTGGTTAGTGACAATGGGATGTCCCACTGGCTCGTCCTGCCCCTGTGGGAACCAGCGAGGCCGGGTTTGGTTGTCTCTGCACCAAGGGAGCCGCCTCCTTCAGCATCAGCTCTACGGACTGTGAGGTTCTCCAGGACGCAGGGACAGGGCACAGGGTCCCGAGCCGTCTGACCCACCTCTCTAAACCCTCCGTTCGACAGGAACACCTGATTGAGAATGAAGTGTCCATCCTGCGCCAAGTGAAGCATCCAAATATCATCATGCTGGTGGAGGAGATGGAAACNCTCACATCCTCAGATGGTTTACATATGGTGCTAAGAAGACTATGGTTTCCAATTTGAATTCCATGAGAATATTTTATCTATGTTTTACTATGTTTCATGACTGAAGACCTCATCCAGAGACATAATAAAGTTCTGTAGTTCGCAAATGGAGATGAGCAACAAATACATACTTTTAAATAAAGTTCACAAAGTCATATCCGTCTGTGGTAGAATCCTGGAAACATTTAAGGCACCATAATTTTTATTTAACTTTTCATAGCAGACGTTGTATCCAAGTTAACTAAACCCATTATATAAGCAGAGTTTTGAGTAGTTGGCGTTGGTTCAGAGTAGCATATACTTTGGTATTGGCCAATAGCTCCTTCACGGGCAACTCATGTTGAAACATTTAATTATCTTGATAAGGAAATTGCCAAGCACAGGCTGATACATAAACAGGTTTGGGGACCTTAGTTTTTTCTTTTGCCTAGAACTTGGGGGAGCTTTATGGAAAAATACTTTTAAGTTTCTACCAGAGTCGATATATCCATATGTTCTCTGAGTTTTAACAAGTAGGGACTCAAGTTTTATGAATATCACTGAAAAGTACATGACCTTCTAGGTATTTAGGAAATAGTTATGAAAGAAAGAGTGGAAATCGGTTACTGGTGAGCAAGTTGGATGTTCTGATTGAAGCAGTTGTAAACTATTATACTTTATCTTTCATCCTAAGCTCTCAAAGTTTTTCATCAAAATTGACTTATTCTTAGACTCATGACAAATAGAGTGAAGACTAGTTATATTCTATGTAAGATCTGAAGTTCTGAAAGTGATTGGGCCTGACATATTTTATAGGATTGCTTTAATGAAGATATTAAATTGAAATGGTAATGTTTAAGGTAGCCTGTGATCTGCAGTGTTTTGACTATAAGTGAAATAGGTTATTTAACATCTTGTTATGCAAGAAATAAATAAAAATGTGGTTCTCAGATCAGCAGCATTCTCATTATTGGAAGCTAGTTAGAAATGAAAAATTTCAGGCTTCAGCCAAGATCCTCAGCTGATTTATGGAGCAGATTCAAGTTCTGATCCAAAGCATGTTTTAGGGGCTTTAGCCAGTATCTAGAGATCTATTAGTGGCCCCTTAAGCCTTTTATATAACTAACCTGATTCCAGCCCTTTTAGTGGGTCTCTTTTAAGTTATATTTTCTGGATTCCTCATAGTTGTTTACAGTTTAATATTTATTATGTTCCTATGAGAATGTCAGGGTTTGCGCTGGTCATTGGATTATAGAAAGGTATAGGGTATGATCTCTGCTCATAGGCAGTGTAACAATAACATCACAATCTGATTAGAATCTCAACTTGCTGTCATTTTCTACCTCCTTATAAATCACAGTTCTTCAGGGAAATTAAAACAGTTCCTGCTATAAGGTTAGAGACCACTATTCTAGGACTTTTATAGCATGGTGTGTGATATTGAATTATTTTAAATAAGGAACGGGTAAATGTCTATGCCAGAAAAATAGCAAAAAGGCTATTGTTTACAAATAGATTTTTTACCTGCATTCTAAAAGAGTTTTGCAGAAATAAAGAGAAAATCCTTAATTGTTGTTTTCAATTTTACTTAGGGTGAACACTTTGGAACTACAGAAGCCACAGAAGCTTTCTTTGCAATGACTCGATTGTTTCAATCTAATGATGTAAGTCCTTTTATTTTTTATTCTTTTAGGCTGAAAAGCTGCTTTTATTTGTTTTCCTTGGGGAACTTAGAGTGTTCCAAATTAGGGGAGGTTGCTTGAAATGTTTAAAATTACTTAAAAATTGTTTATTTTCATAAAATGTTCACTAAAGGACATATGAAAGTAAAGGAATGAAAGTATGTAGTATAAAGCTGTTCACCCACATATCTGCCTTGCAGTCACAAAGGCTTTTACAACCCAGCTCCTGGCATGCACTGCAGAAGGGAATGGTGTGGAAGTCAGCGGAGCTACCACATCTCTGCGTTCTTAGTCAAGGTTCTGCTGGGCCCGGGGTTGCTGTTGTTTAGCAGGGCTGGCAGTTGAGAGGAAGAGCTGGATGCAGAGTGGGAAAGAGGACAGGCAGGGGGAAAAAAAGAGTGAGGACAGACAAGAGCTGCCAAAACCTCTGCATCTGTCTCTCATTACCTTAGACCACCCTGACTTTCAGAGCACAATGGCTGCTGCTTCAGTCCTGTCTTCTAATGTGGCACATGCTGTATTTCTCTTTTGCCCAGCTCTAGCTCAGAACCATACAGGGAAGGGGATTCTGGAATATATATTTTCCACCTTTCTGTTCACATAAACTGTCCAAATCTTGTAGTCCATTTGGTATGTATTGCATGTCATCACAGGCCACATTTTTTGCCTGACCCCCAGGACCTTCTGGGATTTGAGTCTGGTTATGTGTTTAGATAATGAGAAGTTTTGGGAGTGGGTCCTCAGGAACATCAGCAGTCCCTTGTAAGGCAACTAGCTCAGGGGAGGCCATTACACATCCTTCAGGCAAAGGGAGACAATGTTCCTCAGACGGGGGCAGAAGAACTACTTGTATTTGCAAAGGAGGCTTGGTGGAATTTAGGGGTTCAAGGTACTCAGCTTCATTGTAGTCTGCCTAAAGTCCCTGTTCCAGTTTTCAGGGCCCCAACTTCTTCCCAGTCAAGGTCCTGACTTTAACATAAGATGCCCCACAAGGGTGTGAGTTGAATTTGCATTGTAATTCATCCCGCAGGATATGCCTTTCAGCAGTCTCAGCCCTGTGTCCACATGACATAGGCTTCTTATTAAGGCAATAGAGAAAATTTCTAGTCACTTACCTAGACCTTGAGCTGTGAATTTACAACTCTGAGCTCATCATTTTTTTTTAGCAAGTTCTCCAGTGTACTTAGAAGCAACTGACCTATTATACAACTCATTTTTATAAAACTGTTCTATGGCAGCAACTACTTGGCCAAAGGCTTGTCTTACAGGTTCTTGATTATACTGTCTGCAGGTGGTAATTTAGGTATTTTGCCACTGTATGCAATGGACTACTAGTGTCCCCTTTACCACTGGAAATGGTCATTAACGCTTTTTATCAACTCAGAGAAGCAATTTCAGATTCCTATCCTTAAGGTCCTATTTTCCTAACTCAGTGTTTAATCAGGGAAACAGAACCACTATGATTATAGAATTATTATTGGCGGAATTAGATTAGAATGCTAGGCATTCCAAGCTGCTGTACTGGGGCCAAGGGGAGGGACTATTATAAAAGTTATGGAAAAAGACAACCCACTGAATGGGAGAACATATTTGCCAGTGATACATCTGATAAGGGGTTAATATCCGAAATTTATAAAGAACTTAAAAAATTCAACACCAAAAAAACTAACAGTCCAATTTAAAAATGGGCAAAAGACCTGAATAGACACTTCTCCAAAGAGGCCAATAGATTAATGAAAAGATGTTCAATGTCACTAATCATCAGAGAGATGCAAACTAAAACTACAGTGAGATACCACCTCACACCTGTCAGAATGGCTACCATCAATAAATCAATAAACAACAAGTGTTGGCGAGGATGTGGAGAAAAGGGGACCCTCATGAACTGTTGGTGGGAAGGCAGACTGGTGCAGCCATTGTGGAAAACAGTATGGAGTTTCCTCAAAAAATTAAAAATGGAACTCTCTTATGACCCAGCGATTCCACTTCTGTGTATTTATCTGAAGAAACCGGAAATATTAATTTGAAAGAGTATATGTACCCCTGTGTCCGCTGCAGCATGATTTTTAATAGCCAACATTTGGAAGCAGCCCAAGTGTCCATCAGTAGATGAGTAGATAAAACGGCTGTGGTACATTTACACAATGGAGTACTACTATGCCATAAAAAGGAAGAAAATTTTACCCTTCACGACAGCATGGATGGACCTGGAGAACATTATGCTGAGTGAAATAAGCCAGGCAGAGAAAGGAAAGTACCATACGATTTTGCTCATGTGTGGAATTTAATTAACTGAGTGAACTACCAAGCAAAATAGAGACAGACTGATAGAGAGCAGGGGTGTGTGTGGGGGGGGAGGTGGGAGGATGGAGCCAAAAAGGAAAAAAGAGAGAGAGAACTCATGGCCATGGACTACAGTGGTGATTGTGTGTGTGGGGGGGTGAAGGTGGAAGAGGGCATAGAGGGGATAAAGGGTGATGGAAAAAAAATTAAATAAACAATTATAAACAAACATGTAGGGCTGTTGCTTCTTTGTGGCTCTGAATTTGTAGTGCAAGTATCTGGGCCTGTGGTTGCTGTTGCTCAGAAGATGGGCAGTTGGGAGGAGGAGCTGGACATGGAGCAGAGAAGAAGATGCAGAGCAGGGAAGAGACAGTGAGGACAGACTTGAAGCCTCTAGCACAGAGGTGGTATTAAGAAAAGAAGGTGTGAAATAGTTTTCTAGGAAATGAATTGTGCAAATGTAGGACTATTGGACAGGACAAATGGCCCCTTGAAGTTAGCGGTCACAGGTTTACAGTATTAGCAGGCAGCAAGGCAAATGTTTTTCCCTGGTTACAGGCATCAGGGTAAGGCATGGATTGGTTAGGGTTGGGATTTTGCCGAGTTAGTCAACAGAGGCAGGAACAAGGAAGTTGAGTAATTGAAATACTGACTATGGAATCTGTGTTTGGCTAGGAGGCAAGTAAAAACAGGGGCTGATTGAAACATTTAGAACCAATGGATATAGGTCATGATGGAGTGAAAAGAGTTGTTGGAGTCAAGGGTGGTGTTTGGAGAGTGAAATGCTTGGAAATGAAGTTATGAAAGGGATACTGTTATTGATAAAGACTGTGACAATGGAAGTGGGCAGTCACAGTAGGAAGGACAGGATCGTTGGAGGAGAAGTCAATTCCACAGCATGCGCAGAGTTTTAATATTGTCTGTGCGGATATTAAAATCACCAATAATTATTAGTGGGGTAATATTGGAGATAGTGATAGTGTACAAGGTAATACTATTTTTTAAATATAAGGGAAGTGCCCAGCCGGGCGTGGCTCAGCGGTTGAGCGTTGACCTAGGATCCAGGTGATCGGGGTTCGATTCCCGGTCAGGGCACATGCCCGGGTTTCGGGCTCGATCAATGACTCTCTCATCATTGATGTTTCTGTCTCTCTCTCTCCCTTTCCTTTCCTCTCTCTGAAATCAATAAAGATATATTAAAAATAATAATAATAATAATAAGTAAATAAGGGAAGTAACCTGGATCTATACATGCAACCAAGAATGGTGGCAGGCGATCAGTCTAATGGCATAAACTTTAAAGCCAGAGTTTTTTAGGGAAGAAGGAGGCACAGTGAGAGAAGGCAGCATAGGGATTTCGAAAAGCAACGAAAACTGACTTGGACAGCTTCCCCACCTGCCCGTGTGGTGGATGTGGCTTAAAGGGGAGAAAACAGCCACCATTGCAGAGGGCTGCAGGAAAATCCTCAGGGGAGAGCCAGGTTTTAGTTAGAGAAAAGTTGGGACTGTTCGGAAAAGAGTCAGGATAGAAGGGGTTTTGCTGATGAAAGTGCCGGAGAGCATGATGGAGGGGCTTGGGATTTGTGGAAGGATGGGAGCTGCAGTCAGATTAGGTGCTGTACCCAGCTGCATGGTGATGAGTCATGACCAGGATGCTTTAGGTTTTTTGTAGTGACTGAGGTAAGTAACTGTGCAGAGCACAATGCTATTCATTCGGATGGTCCCTTAGGCAGAATATGGAATCGAGGGTGTGATTTATGGGGGGGGTTGGGGGGGAAGAGTTGAGGATTTTGCCATCAGCAAGTGGAGTTCCTTCCTTTCCCAGAGGCTGATTACTACCTTGAGATTGGTATCCTTCTGTCCATGTGTATGTATGTAGATGTACAGTGGGACCTCAGTTTTCTAATGTAATCCGTCCGGAAGACCGTTGGAGTTCTGAAACATTCAAAAACTGAGGGATCCACAGCCGACAGTGAGGCCTCAGGATCTTGCCCTCAGTGGAAGCCATGGGGCATGTTCGACTTCCGAGACATCTTCAAAAACTGAAGCATTAACGCCTAGGTTTATGGCATTTGTAAACCAAAATGCTCGTCAACAGAGACGTTTGAAAACCGAGGTGCCACTGTATTACATATGTTTACATCCATAATCTAAAGTTAGTATTTTTGTGTTTTTTAAAATAAAATATAAATAGTATCATCTTCATATTATTTTGCATTTTAAAAAACTAATATGTTTTTAAGCTCTACTCACTTGCTACATGTACTTCTCCTTTGTTCAGTGTCTGCTGAATGGAATCCCAGTGTGTGAATGAATGTACAGTATTCCTATTTATTTACCCATCTCTCATTGATAGATATTTGAATTGTTTCTGTGTTTTGCTATTACAAATGATACTACACATAATGTATATGTACATGTCTTCTTGTGCACACAGTGAGAATTCTTCTTTGGTAGATAGCCTACGAGTGGAATTTCTAGACATGCTAGTTATTCGATTTTGTCAAATTGATCTTTAAAGGGGATGGCATTGAATCTAAAGATCAGTTTGAGGAGAATTGACATTGTAACATTATTGAGTTTTCTGCTCCACAAACATGGTGTATATCTCTCTTTTTTCAGGTCTCTCTAATTTCTGTCAGTGGTATTTTAGCTTTCAGCATACAAGTCTTAGACATATTTTGTGAAATTTATCCTAA